ATGGATACTCACCAAGATTCATCGACAAGAATATCAAAAGATACTTTACATGAATTTGGATTTCAAGGGAGACTTTGCTGACGATATCCTCAAGAGAAGAATGTCAGCATCTTTGAGAAGAATCTTCTTCGCAGCAACGCTAAGAGTAGTGTTCTCCTGTCGTCCATTGATCTGCAGAAGCCTTAAGGACAAGATCTCACATCTGTCCACTACAATGTGCATATATCCATCCACCTGTTACTGTGAAGCCTGGTACATTGGTGGTTCGACACGTCTCCTCTCTAAAAGGGTTGTAGAACACTATCCCGCGTAACTGCAGGGAAGTAGTAGTGACTCTATAAGGAGTGCGATTAACGAACGCCTTGTCAACACTAGTCACTCCATTTCAACAAACGCCTCCTTCAAAGAGATCTACAAAGTGAAGAATAACCTACCAAAGGCAATATGCTTTCGTCTCCTTTGTATTACTGAAGCCTATTGAGTTGGAAGAACCAGAGTTATATATACAAAAGAAAACTTTCCAACCACTCCTACTATCATGGTAACAACCGTATTGACTACCACCAACTTGATGTTTGCGTGCTTGTTTTTCTTCTTTTCTAACTCCTTATAACGTTTGTAATTTATAGAACTCTTACATAATTCCATATTTTCCTTTGTTTCTATGTTCATACTAATCTCAGCTCACTCATTAAACTGTTCATCTTATTATGTAGCTGTATTACGCTTATTCAACTTCCTTTATGCTTTGATTAACATTAATAACTATGTTTTTTGACAACGTATCATCTTACTGACCTTCACCACCCCTAGTTACAATTTCATTACTCGTCACATTTTTGAAAGGTCTTAACAACAATACCCTAACTTATATATAACCTTACCAGACAAACCTAATGTACACATACACAAGCAAAAATAAGTATATATAATTGCTGTTGTACAGATAAGTGAATGAATTCGCCGCCGTAAAGAGACTCTTAGCTGAACTACGTGTCTTGTTTTCCTTAACTTTTTATTTATTTATTATTTAAACACAGGAAACTTGGTACAATGTGGCACCAAAAAGATGTGCCATACAATAATAATAAAACAACATAAATTAAAAGTTAAAGTTTAAGTAGAGAACGGATAAAGAACTTCATCTGGAAGGAAAACAGTCATACTTAACAAGTTCAAACAGTATTCGTCAACTATCATCAGGAAGGGAAGAAAGAAGAAAATTGCAGCACGTTCGCAATTGATTGCGATTCTTGGCCATATCCGATAACGTTTCGAGCCATCGATTCGAGCTGTCTCGCGGACTCCAATCAGGGAGTGGTGACGAACCAACCGAACCCCCAACGCCACTTCATGGACTGACTACCTCTCCGCCTTTTCCGTCCAGTCAGTTCTAAGGCTAGCGAACAGAAACCTGTACGGAAGCTTCTGGGATGACATTCGCAGCACATGTACAAACCACCGAGGCCAGTGTTTCCAGATGACGATACTCAATGAATGGTGATCTCCGTGTTCAAACACACGCCGTCGAACCTCAGTATTACTCACGCGATGATGCCATCGAACGCACGCAATCCTGCGGAGACAGCGATGATCGAACACGCAGAGTCGCCTCACATCCTCAGCTCGGAGCTGCCAGGTTTCACAGGCGTAGAGCAAGACAGCCCGCACCGAAGTATTGTATACCCGACCTTTGACAGCCAGGCTAACGTCGCGACGGCGCCAGAGGTGGCTCCAGTTGATGTATGCCACCCTAGCTTTCGTGATACTGTTGGAAATCTCACCCATCACCTCTCCGCCAGCACTCACATAACTACCCAGATACACAAACTTATCAACAAATTCAAGCGGTTCACCTGCAAGAGTGAGTGCAGATACAGGCTCCTGCCAATCTTGTAACAGTACTTTGCACTTAGACGGTGCAAAAACACATGCCATACTTACAGACACTGATCGCCAACTGATTAAGTGCGATTTGGGCAGCCTACATGCTATCGCACAGTAAGACGATATCGTCTGCATACTCGAGGTCGAAAAGTCTCTCTCCAGGTAGCACGCACATTTTTCAGAGCTGACTCCAGAATGTCATCGATGGCAAAGTTAAAGAGAAATGGAGAGATTGGGCAACCCTGTCTAACCCCACTGTTGGTTGGGAACAGTGATGACAGTTGGTTGTATGCCCTCACTCTACCTGAGGTGTTTCTGTATAGGGCTTTCAAGATGTTAACAAATTTCTCAGGTACACCTCTCTCTAACAGAAAGTTCCAGAGCACAGTTCTGTCCAACGAATCGAAGGCAGCCCTAATATCAAGAAACACATCGATCGTTGGCCTGCAATACGTGTGGCGGTGTTCCAACAACTGACGAAGGGCAAACACATGATCAATGCATCCACGGCCTGAACGAAACCCAGCCTGCTCTTCGCGAATCAATCCCTCACGTATTTTGCACAGCCTGCGAAGCAAGACAGCAGCCAATATTTTAGACGCAACTGGTAGCAGACTGATACCCCCATGGTTGTCACACGAGTTACGTCGACCCTTTTTAAAGATGGGGACGATAATGGCTTCGTTCCACATTGATGATACGCTCTCAGTTTCTCATACCTTCCTGAACAACCCAGTTAGAGCCATTGTGAGAGTCTCGCCACCATTTTTAAAAAGAGTCGGGGGTAAATAGTCTGGGCCGGCGCCTTATGGCGTTTTAACACTTGGAGTTCCTTACGGACCTCCGCTTCGGTGGTGGGTCGGTATTAACCGACCAAGGAGCACTGGAGCTAGTGACAGCAGATACTGAAGCTGGTGGCCAGCTAAACTGTTTCCCGAAGTGCTCTGCCTAGCGTTGAACATGAGGATAGCTAGCAACCCCATCCTGTAAAAATAACCACCATTGCTACAGAAACTTCAAGCCTCTAGCTTGAAGCCCTATGTTCCACTGGGGACGTAAAGGAATAAAAAAACATTTGACCTAGTTTCAAATTTAGTGCTACATATGATACTAGAATATTGGAAAAGAACCCGTTCATGTAAGTGGCGCTTGTATCTGAAAGTGAAATCAACAACCTGATAGATATTTGCAGGGATTTAGATTAAGACCCATTTAACAAGGCTCACTGACTAATTTCTTTACAGATAAACAGCTTAGTCGCTTTCAAAAAAAAGTTATTACACAACGCTGAAATACCTGAGTTATTCAGACAGAAACATCTTAATGAACAAATGAATTTGTAAATACTAACACTATCATCAAATGCACTACAAGAAAAAAACTTACAAAATGCCTTTAACTGTATTTCACTCATACTAAAAATACTTGTTGGCATTTTAATAACGAAGTTATGCCCAGTATAGATTAGGCGCTGGTATTAAATTAAACACAAATGCTCATCGAACTTTCTCTATCTCACACTAATAAGTGACAAAGTGATTCAATGTTATGTAAAAAAAAGTAAAATGGATCATTCCAACTGAAAGTAACCAGCATTTTGCAACCTTATTCAAAAGACAGAAAGTTTATGAGTGAACTAGTATTTGGACATGTTTATTCTAATGTATTTGAATAATTTAGCAACATGCCAATCAATTCTAGTCGTCATTATTCCTATCTTACATTAGATAATTCACAACACAAGGTTAGTTATTTCCATCCTGGAGTGTACAAAATACAATCCAAATGTTATTCAATCCCACCTACCTACCTAATTCATTATTCGTGATTTAATGTGCTCTCATAGGCACTGTATTGCCCAATGAATTCTAAATTGAAAATTGTGAAACACATCGCCTTTTCTATCGTTACAACAATTTTTTAACCCTTTGTGTTCCCAGTGGAAAAATAGGGCCTCAAGCTAGAGCTCTGAAGTTTCAGTAACAGTAATTTTGTTTACGGGATGCGGCTGCTAGTCTTTCGCGCGTAACCTTTGCTCTTCACCGGGTTTACTAACAGCTAAGATAGGTAAAGGAGTTCGGGGACCGGACTCTGGAACACTTAGCTCGCTTGGCGCCAGTGTCCAACTCCTGAACCATCGGTGCTATAACAATTTAGTTGACTTTAAAATATAGTCTACACACTATAGAGACACTAAAGTACTCATCACGAATTGAATTCAAGTTGAAGAACCATCAGAGTTTAGAGAGTACTGGAGAGATGTTTTCACTTTGTTTGGAACTTTCCTACAGTAAGCACCCATGATTCCACCGGGGATGGGACTCAGGATGTTTAGCATACAAGGCAAATTTGTATATCACTCCAGCACAAAGACAGAATCCAATGGCCCATCAGTTTCAACTTTTGTCGTTAAATTCTGACAAAAAAATTCAATTACTACTACACACAACTATGGATAAACCACACTTGAGTGGACAACGGTTGATAATAGTATCTAAACCTAAACAGGTAGGCTGCGGCTCAAAAGCAAGACTCACCGACTGAAAGTCAACAGCTACATAGATCCCCGTGCAGTAATCTCTTCTCATTAATTACCTCACATCCCGGCAAAGGACGTCCTACCCGCACACACACAAATGCTAGGTCTAAGAAAAGACACTTATTCAGTGGTCTTCCTGATTTAATTCCATCATTTATACGATGTCATATGACCACCATGTCTGACGATTATTTAGCCAGGAAAGGAATCTTTCAATTCTCACCTGCCCTGAAAGCCTTTCACAACATTTGGTAGAACAAATGCTCTTGAAACGCGGTCTAAAATAGCTCAAACCAAGGATGTACTAGTTTGAGAATAATGTAGCGTGGATTACGAGTCTTCATCTATGAATAAGACATCACCAACTGCTCACATCATATAAATTATTCTTATATTCGATACTCACATGCGAACAACTTCAACACGTACACAAAGTATCTCCCCCTCTATCCACAGTACTTTGAATATCCTACCTACTGTACGAAAGGGACATATATATACGGTAATTCCCCCGCCATATACCTCACTTGAATCACCAGTCAGCTGACAAAATATATAAAATTAACAAAAACAACTGGCTTTGAAAGACTTTTCTTATTACAAACAAAGTTTGCTAGGAAAGTCCTAGCAAATATTTAGATTTTTCTCACAAACTCTCGTTGACAGCGGTAACTACCCTCCATCAAAAGAACAACCAGTGCTATTTCAATATTGTAACCTCTCCGTCTCTAGGGGTTCGTTTAAGTACTGGCAAATACACATGACAAAGTGGTATCACACAAATATTCATATAAACAAAAAAGTGTACGTTTTCACTACTAAGTAATAACCAAATCTAGGCAATCACTAAATGGTTAGTAAACAGCTGAAGATTAACTTTAACCTGTGTAAAAATTGAACGAACTTTGTTTTACAGATTTTAATCCCATGTCGAGTTAACTGGTATAAATATATGCATTAATTAAGAACATGGAAGCATCCAAAAAAAACTTTCTTTTAATCAAAAAAATTTTTAGAGAAACAGTGAAACGCAAAATCAGTTAAACGAAATGCATACATAAACTATGGTCACCCAACGAAATAAGGCATAAAGAGAGAGTGTGTGTGCGTGCCTTTACGTGCAAAGGCGGAAAGAAAAGAGGGATTATCTGTTGCTGGGCGACCAGTATTTAAGACTATTCACAAGGGTCAAAGTCCCGATAGCAGTAGTATTAGAAGGTAGTCATGTAAATTGGCATAACCCACAGAGACATCAGTCTTATAGGTTAATACAGAAACTTAAACTATGTACATTGTAAAAGTAATTACGAAAATTACACAGGTCTTATAATAGAAAAGCATATAAGACCTAGAAAGGAATGGATATGTTCGCAACAGCGAATGTGGGAATCAAGTCTGAGGTCATAAATTTCTCAACAACTTAAGAAAGAATGTTGTTTTTTGGGGATTCCAACTGTTCAATCTCCTCTAGGGTCTTGGCTTTGATGCCACTGAAGTTTGAGTCAACACCAGATGGTTGCTTGAGTTTTTCCAATTCCCATAGCCGAGAAAGTAAACTTAGACTGCCACTATTCGCTGGAGAATCGTTGGCTTTAGCTTGTTGCTGCAAGTGAGGATTAAAAGGAATGGAGGATGCTAGTGTTGTAGTGGGAGCGTGAAGCGGAAATGAATTCCCATAGTTTTGTCTATGACTGGACAAAGAAGCTGGAGAATTATTCAACAGGTCTGCTTCAATATTGTTTAAATACTGCCTCAAATTCATATTGACAGATTGACGATTAGTTTCTGAAAAAACAAAATCCCGAAAATTATTTTTAAGTGATATACATATATATACTTCAATAACAGCAAAAAGTAATGGGTTAACTGTAATAAGATCTCTAAACAGACAGTTTACAACAGTTTCCTTGATTTCAGTACCTTGAAAGACAAAGTATGGCTCTTCGCACAAATAAATTCATAGTCCTAGGGAGAAAATACCTATTCAAAGTTAGACTTTGTAGGCTGGGGATCTGTTATTGTTAAAATAATAGTGATTTACCGACGGTTGATGGATTGTCTACTGTATATGCCGAAACAACTTCTAAGGCGATTTTAATTATTACCTGAATTAAAATTGCATGGACTACCGAATAAATGGTTTTGAGTGAGAACGGTGTAAGGGCTGTGTGCCTGTCTGTAACGTCGAAGGGTTCATGTTAAACAGTCCTAGTAACCAAAATTGCTTGTCGGGGTTGGCGTTGGCTCGGTATGCGTAACAGGTGTCCTAGCCATCTCATCCGATGAACCTTCGAAAATTCATCCCCTTCCTTAATAGCTACCTTCCGTATATCACCAAATAGGAACTTTGTTGATTAAGCTTACTTTCTTTCAAAGTATAATGTTTGTCATCTTTTCATCATTTGAAGATATTTTGAAAGCACGACCTGAATGCTTAGTTCTGTTAGACAGAAAAAAAGCACATCTCGTATTTATATATGATAATGTCTGCTGATGGTAAACACTGAAATAAATGAGAATTAAGAAGTCAAGAGTAATGCGGTTATTACTATACAAGCATTTACGTTAATCCCTATGTACCATTCCATTTGTTCCTTTATATTGCAGGCTTTTCGAATTTGTATACCTAAAACAGATACACCTTCGAGCGAAGTTCAGTGTTAACATGTCGTTAAGTGCCTAGGTTAGAATTCTAAAACATCCACAAAATATTTAACTGTTGGAACAGTTTGTATAAACATCTGTCTATCTGTCTGTCTGGATTCAACATAGAACTTGACACCGAAGTGCATCAGTTCGAGTTACCACGTTCCAAATAGTACACAAAGGTAGACAAGAAAATGAGTGAAGAGAATCAATAGAGTTTTGACAAGTATAAGAGTGAAATAGAATGAGTAATGGTAGAAAGGAATATGAAGGTTAAAGAGACTGAATACATCTGCGCCATTGACAACGATTTTGAGCCATGTCACCTATTGTCTCCAGCCAGTGATTCTTAGAGTCCCGAGGGCGGGCCCCAACCCGGAAGTCTGCATCTCCCTACCTGACTCAGTTTAACTGTCAAGCATTTCATGGATTGATGCCATGTTTTTGTTTGGCCACCTCTTACTCTTTTCCAACCTGCACCTAAATCAGCTAGTAATGCCCGTCGGGGGAGGCGATGGTTAGGCATGCGCAGCACGTGACCTAGCCATCTCAATCTATGTAACTTCACAGCCTCGTCGATTGATTTTCCCTCTTTGCCCAACACTCTACGCCTAACGTCAACATTACTTACCTTATTATGCCACCTAACGTGAGAAAGAGATCGTAGACATCTATGATCAAAAACAGTCAATCTTTTCATATCTTCAACTCGTATTGGCCATGCTCCAGAGACCCATAGAGAAGGACGGAGCGAACTGCTGAGCAGTACACACGTCCCTTGGTTGATAGCCGGATGTCACGCCTACGCCAGCGATGGTGTTAGTTAGCGAAAGCAGCCCGAGCTTTTTGGATCCGTGCTGAGATTTCGTCACCAATCAATCCGTTGGTGCTGGTACAACTTCCCAAATAGGTGAAGTGGTCAACATGTTCTATTACTTTGTAAAAACATTGCCACTTGGCTTTTCATGGAAGTACAAAGTAACCTTAATGTCAGTAAAAATATAATTATACTTTACAAAGTAGCCGATTAGTTGTAGACATGAGAGCTAGACAGATTTTGGAAGTTTAGGATAGACTTCCGATGGAACAAAATAGAGCTCATTTAACAGGATGATAATTCAAAGGAGAATTACACATGGTATGTACAGTAACCAACGCTATTCTATTTCGCACTCAAAATCACTAGATAAAAAAATACAATAACTACAGGATGTAAACCAAACATGTATATCATTATTTGAGTAAACAGTTTCGAAGTTAAACATGTCGCCATACAGAAACGTAATATTTACCACGATGAAATATGCAAACTTTTTGAAACAGGAGAATTTGATAACCTAGTTTGAGTTACTTACATAAACAGGATCAATTGTCCGCCCCCCCCCCTTTGTCATGACTTCATTGAGCCTTAACTATTGTTCTCAACACTGGTGAGGCGGAAATGTTTGAAAAGTTGAACGCACACCGACCCTCTGTTTATCTCGAAAGCTGGTTTATCACAAACACGATAGTTAAAAAGTTGGAGTGATGGCATGGCTTATGTAACCATGCTAATTACCACATATATGTTATTAAGATGAAAGAGATTAGTAAATAAGAGGCTCAAGAGACTGAATTAGTGGTGTCGATATACCAGCTTTGAACACTTTAGTGTCTAAGTACTTCTAAATATGAAAGGTGATCACTGCACTCCTGTGCATCGTTAAATGTGTCAAGAAGAGTACACTGTCTCACTTACAGGAAATGTAAAAATTATGTAGACTAATGTCTTAAAAACAGATACATCTTTAACAAGTAGGACTACTATGCAATTTATACTACTACTATGTTGAAATACAATGATGCGTTAACTCACCTTGTTGGATAGACGAATTTACGAACACAGAGTTTTGGTTATTACTGCATATAGGGTTATTAGCCCGTCCTGAGTTGTGACTAGAAAACACATTTTGCTGAGCCTTAACTATTGGCCTTCCAGGTGGTGCTGAAGAAAAAGCGTTTGGAGGTTGTAACCTAGACATACCAGGATATAAAACTAAGTCCATATAAGTAAACAAATATTAGAATTACCTGGGGAATGGAGTTGTGGTCTAGAATGAGCAGCTGGGTCCCTTGTACCATTCCGAAGCTGATGAAGAAAACCTATTGAATAACTAATAAAAGAAACTCATATACCTTGTGAAGTTGAGTTGACGTCAGAAGCTGAGTTCAGAGGTATATCCGGATGCTGAAGTTGATTAATACGAGCGCTTGCTGATACAGCATTAGCCTAGAAAGAGAAATAATGGGTTAGGCAAACGAAGATACAATTTAAATAAAAAAACAAAACAAACAAGCACAAACCATTGCCTTTAGCCATCGGTAAGTCTGAAATAAAGATATAATCAATATTAAGTTGAAAATTCTCAAGAATCAGCCTTAATGTTTAGCATTACGTACCATGGAACCTGGAAGAAGTCCAAAAGGTGAGATAGAGCTATGCATATCCATAGGCTGAGAACTGACTGGCTGTGGATTCTGTTTCCCTGCTAATGATCGCAGAAAAGGTACCCAACTGGCGGTAGATTCTGGCTGAGATGTATGACTAAAGTTCTTCGGAAACCCAATAGGGTTACCACGAGACTTAATGGCTTGATCATTGATCAGCAAAGGGTCCGAGATTTGGGGCAACGAGCCGACAGTTTTATCTACTGGTCTGCTTATACCCGACCTCATCTCGGCTTCGATTTCTTCAACAGTGTATACTTTACGCTTTGACTCTAAATATAAGTTATTAATATTTATGCACCACTTACCACTAAAGTCGTTTTTTGTTTGTTCAGTATTTGACGAAGGGATGGAGGAATTTCCAAAGAGGATGGAGCGGAGTTTATTCTCAGCTTGAAGAGCTACGAAGATTAAAAGACTTCAAAAAGCTTACCGAGATTTTGTTCAATATTGGATAAACCGGGGGGTTTTACTTTCAGCAAATTCAATAACTGTTCATTGATGTTATTCAGTGGAGCCGTATTATGCGGATAAGTGCTACTAGGGCGCACATTTTCATCCGACTGCTCATTCTTTTGGAACAGATGTTTAAATCGGCTACCTCGGTTTTCATTTTCATGATGATCTGCGCCACCACTAGAAACTTTGTTTGTGTGTTCTGGGAACACCGTCGGCTTGGACCCTGGAGATTCTCTGTCCGGTGTATCTGCAACAATGCCCTCTGTTTTCCCTGGCTTATCACCATCGATTTCTTTTGGTAGATGATCCATTCTGTCTGAAGTTTTGGAAACTAAGTTATTTTCGCAGTCCAGTGATTCCTCTAGAATACCTCCAAGCTCAATTGTTTCATTGACTGTAGTGGGACCCTCTGAAAACCATTCAGGCTCGTCTTCACTATGAGAATTGGATGTCCGATATTCACGACCAAATCGGTCCTCTTTGTTATGATTTCTTACGTAAGATACCCCTTCAGGTTGTCTAGCAGAGCCACGACCCCGACTGGAATATCCAGAACCACGACTATCACTACACCGGTAATCTCTTTTGTAGTCACCAACTGCTTTAGGATGATGCTTGTCTGAAGTGCGGTGTTCAACAGCAAACTTAGGCCAACGAGCAGATGCGCTCGTATCCGTTGCTTCGCGCCCTGGAGTTTGTTGAGAAACATGACAGCCTGTATTCCAGGTCCGTTTTTGAGGACCAAGAACTATGTTAGACGTGTCTCGTGGTTTCTCTATAAATGCTACTAGTTAAAGAAACTGAGTAACATACCACCAGCCTGAGATTTTGAGAGAGAATTCAGTCTTGACCTCCCGCGAGTTGAACGTAATAATGATGCATTTATGCGGGAGAATTCATTCGCGAATTCTGCTGAAGAAATAGGGTTCTTCTTGACTTCCAAAATTTCTGCCTGCAAAAGCATGCTTCAGTTTTAGTTGAAACTTACGCGAGTGTATCTGACTCGAGTGGTCTTAGTTTCACTTTGGCCATCTGACTCACAATTTTCCATTCGGAAACACAAGATCGGCCAAAGCGTTTAACGGGTGACCAGACAACCAATCCTGACGGAACGCCTGCTGTTCTACCAACTTAATACGAACACATCCAACCAAAAAATTACAAAAACCCGCTCCACAAGTGGAAAGGTACCGCCGTTGTTGAGTTTCAAGAGTGAACCAGTACTAGTCGTATGAAAGCATGTGAGTTCCAAATCTTTACACATATAGTGGCAGTGAGGAATTCATGTTTCAGTTTTTGATAAATAAAATCGAAATCTTCACAGTCACTTCTTCCTCTGGCTCGTGAAATATTTGGAAATGACAGTTAAAATATCTAATTTACTATAACTATTCCCTAGGCTCTTAGTGGAACACAGGGTCTCAGGAGCACATCTTCACTCCACTGCATTCTCTGCATTCTAATGTATTTCCATCCACGATTACCCATAATTCTTTGTTAATTTGCCACCCAGGTTTTCACACTTGAGTTCCACTCCATGGACTAAAATGTATAAAAGCAAGCATTTTTGACTCAGTCCATCCTTATCACCATATATGCATCCAAAGTGTCTTTTCTCTCAGTCGCTCACTATTTTCACCCTGAATATGATTCCAAGCCCTTGTAGCGGTATATAATTTCCCAGAATTATTAGTTACCGGTTTCGTCGACTTGTTGAGCTGAAGGTGAGCTCTCAGCCACCTCTGTCATTCAACACTATGTTACTCTACGTTTAGTAGATCGTTCATGATTCCTATCTAGGGATCATCACACCTCGACGTTTCTTTTCCCGAAACATATCTGTCTCATTTTTTCGAACGTGTGATAACAACTCATTTCAGTACAAAAGTACATTACATACAACATTATGCACTTCGGAAAGTTAGACTGACAAATAACTGATTATGCTGGCTGCATAAGCTTGGGTTTCTAGACTCTGTAGCTGTGTTAGAACAATTATTCTGCCTCAGGCCAAAATGTATAAGGTATAAGTAACTGTATGATGTTTCGAGTAAAATTTATTGCCCATTATAGTGTAACGACAAAAGGCAAGAGTCAGGCAACAGATCACTTATTAAGGAAATCAACGCATATTTATATATGTTTTCATGTATATTACTATGGATATGTAAACAAGCAAACACAGTCTTCCGATCGGTTGTTTCTCACGACAAATCTTGGGAACGTAAATATTGACGTAAATTACTGTCTACCAATTTGGCTAGTAGACAGCTCTCACCACAATAGTATTAAAAGATTCATACGACTTCCAGATTAAGTTTTTGCAATCTTTTCAGATACCACAAGTGCCATTCTGTTAAAATATTTACTCAGTCAACAACAATTAGTTTCTCTGTTTTATTCTCACCATAGCAGTGCTGCTTCCCGAATATGTTCCGATATGGTTTATCACTATTATTATTCCCATAGGTTCCTAGTAGAACTTAAAACACTTCACTTTATTCTGTTCTCTGAAGTCTTCCTCGGCTGGCTCCGCGTATGCTCGTAAGCTCTTGTTCCCTCTCCACACAATCGTATCCACGTCTCTCTTGGATGCTAAACTCATTGTTTCCAGTCGGATTCCACTCAGAAGCATGGCGTGTTATGTCTACGGTCCAATCCGTATCCATTTCCCATACCATATTAGTTGGGCAATAAATTTTCAGTTAGCTAGTTCCCAGAGTCCTACATTGCTAATCACTTTCCAGACATGGAAACTAACTCTAAAAACTCTACTCTTCTTTAATAGCCACCAGAATTTAGATAATCTGAATCTGATCGACGAAACCTGGGACTATGGTTTCCTAATTTGATCGCTATAGTATTAGGTCTTTAACCATCAGGTATGAGGATTTGTGTTCTAAGTCACCTTATACCGTAGTTACAGCCATACAACTGGGGAATAGTTTAAAAACTCACTCGACGCTGGCAATGGGTTGACTTCCTTACCACTGACTCTCTAGAGAGTGTAGTATCCCTCTTTCATGCTAACATCGGCCTGTGTTTAAGTACTGTAGCTCCTAAGTAGTTAGCAAAATTGCTTCAGCGCCAAGCCGAGTGCATTCCAAGGGCACACCACAATAAGTTAAGGAAGCTGGCGAAACAGCATTATTCTGCAAAGGATATATCAATAATTCACCCATTCCATCAGTCGGTTGAATCATTCAAGCGCTTACGCCCTCAAGATGATCATGGCGAAGATTTAAGTGCACTTAAAAGTGCTTACAAAGCTTGCAATCTAAGTCACTTAAAGAACCAATGTAGTTAATAAAGAACATCCCTTACTTAATCCGTAACAAAGTAATCTACAGTAGCCATGCCACTATCTGTGGACTTTTGGATGAAAGATGTGCGAATCTTGGTCCAGAGACACACACCCTTAGTGAGAATACACCCCTTGCCAACTACTCTCTCAGTAGCCTAGTGTTTACCAGTCAGTTAGTGGGACCAACTGTTCAAAGCCTTAGACCTTCTACTAGCAGGAGGTCAGATGGCCCTGCCTCAATAATTCTCAAACACGGTAGGAATAACATTCCTCTTCTTATTCTTAAGTTCTTCCCCTTATCTTCGGACACTGGTAGTTATCCTGATGAGTGGAAAACTAGTTTTATTATTCCACGCTAAAAAAATTGGTGATAAGGCTAACGTTGCCAATCACGGACGTTCAAATGTAATCCCATAGAGAGATTTATCAGAGATCAACTATCGAATAATCTACTAAGAGAAGATCTTGTTAAGTAGTCTCAAAACGAATTTCTCAAAAATAGGTCAATTTGACATTTTCAGCTGCATCACTAATAATCGCCAAGCGTGCAAACTAGTCGCTATTCCCCACTTCGATATATGTTAATAATAATTATTATATTTATTTCTGTTTATGCAGGAACATACCAATTGTACAGGCATGGATAAGTTATTATATAAATTACACATATTTTGATGTATGGTGAATTTACAGTTTGGTTGTTCTTTCTGACATTAGAATCAGCCGGAACAGTCTGCTATAAAGTATGTTTGTGTAACACATAAAGAGATATAGAAATATTGTCTTCGCATTAACAAAAAACCCAGACATCAGATGATTGTAATACAAATATCGGGGAAAGAAAGCTTGAAGTCAGTTCTCCTTTATAAATTTGTTGTGAACAGCATCCTTGAGTTAAAGTTTATTGACGTATTATTTTGAGGTCAGTGATGGATTTATTCCATTTTTTCAGCAGTCTAATCGTAGTTTTATAACAGGAAAGAAATTTGATCGTGGATGCGAAAACTAGACAAGGTTATGCTGAATTTTTTCACTGCATCAAATGGAGCCGAAGTCGATTCCAGAATTCTCCATTGGCGCCATTTGTGTCTGCACGGCGGACTGTACACGTAAGTTAAGTAAGACATTGAAAACTGTTTGAAAACCAGTTGCTTCTTTATATCAGATCATGAATACTCATTGTACAGAATGTTTGCCAGCGTCTTCAAATGGTAGCATCGGATCATTCATGGAATTTGAGTGGTTATGAGTCCAGCTTCATTTCAGTTTAAATGTAGTGTTGTGCGGTCTCGACCAAAAGGTGAATAGAAGACTAGGCGCAGCAGCAGAATACCAGAAAGAGAAAGTATGTGAACATGAAAAGAACATTAATGTTATTTGCATATATAAATGTGGGTCGATACCTAGAGTTTATATTCGTTGTACATTGTATCTTAGCAAACATGCATATTTATTTCTACTAAGTCTTTTTATACATCTATGCAACTAGTCTATTTATAGTTTTTAGAGTGCTAAGGGTATTTAAGTGCTGTAGTAAACTAATAATTGATTCGTTCTGGGAATAAATAGTTTATTAATATAATCAGTAAAGTGAAACAGTCTGTACAGAGAGCGCTTGTAACTTATAACCGAAGAACTAGTTCTGACATCTAGGGACAGGCTATTCCATATTTTAGAATACATCACTGTGGAGAAGTTTTCACGGAGTGTTGACTTAAAGGCTTTTATCGTCACTGTGTAAGTTTGTTACTCAGATCGTAAGAGCCTTCCTGTGCGAATTGTATGTCCCTGTTGCCTCGGAATGATATTCTGTGAAGGTCCTTAAAGAAGAATATTAGGTTTATAATAAGTCGTCTTGTTCAATATGGGTCAAGTTTTAGGATCATGCAGCGTCAGATGTAGTCTTCCTCACAGTCGTAGCCAAGTAGTTTGGAGGTGAAGTATCGTTGGATACTATCCACCCTTGGCTTGTCAGGTGTGCGAGTGCTGCTTATAATAAATGGAGAGTATTCTAGTAATGGCCTCACACATGTTTTATACAGAATTAGCTTGGCTTCATTGTCGTGAAAGCTCCTGATTATTCATCCTAGGTGCATCCTCGACTTTCGAGTCTGTGATATCACTTGCTCAGAGAACGTTAGGTCACTAGAGTACCTTAGGCCTGAGTCAACGACACCTCTGAATCTGGTTAGGTTTGCAGATTGAAGCGTCAATTTCAAGTCAATTTGGGGTGCGCCAAAGCAGATCCAACCGCATTTTTAAGGTTAAATTGTAGATTCCATAAAGACGACCAAGCAGTCACTTTATCTAATTCTTTCTTCACTACCTTCTCGAAGTACCCTAGGTCATCACATTGGAGTGTATAAGCTACTTTTAGGTCATCTGCAAAGATGAATGGTTTCCCATGTGATAAGCAAGCGCATATGTCATTGATGTGTGGTGTAAATCGGAGGAGTCCAGTGACACTACCTTGTACTACACCAGAAGTGATTGGGCTAGGTTTGGAAGTTACAGACCCGAGTTTAACTACTTGGCACCTGCTGTTAAGGGATGATCTTAGCCATCCTAATAGTGGGTCACGTATTCCTAAGGAGTTCGGCAGTAAATGGTCGACACGGTCGAATGCCTTAGAAATGTCAAAGTAGATGACGAGTACCGGCTGCCGTTTGTCACGACTGCTAGTCACAAAATTGAAGAAGTCTAGGCGGCATGTTAAACAAGATCTGGATTTTAGGAATCCATGTTGGTTCGGACCTATAATGTTAATAATAATAATGTATGTTTTCATATAAACATAAATTTACATGAAAATATATGCCATTTTTACAGGCACCATCAAGTATGATATAATGTCAAATATTAGATTGTCTACAAGTTAACAAAGTTTGAACAGCTAAA